TCGCTCCCAGTGCCCCTGGTCTGCTGGAGACAGTCCCCAGCAGACCAGGGGCACCGGGAGCAGCTTTTCTCGCCCCGGAGGTCGAGGTGGTGGATCGCTGCCTGCGAGCTCCGGGGCGAGAAAGCCCCGTTCGTAAGTGCGGATCCGACATAAGTCGGATCCGCGTAAGTCGGGGACTGCCTGTATTCCACAAGTTGGCACTGCATGTGAGAAGAGGTGATCCAAATGGAACCCAAAGTACAAAACCTCAAGCTCCATTTCAAATACGTCTTCTGATTTTGTACACATTGTCACTAAATTGCTCCATTTCATTTGTGGCACATCACATGGAAGAAAAATCAGCTGCATCCAAACAGAACTGACTTTTTTCTACATTACAAACACCACAAAAGTGTTTTAAAGCAAGTTTAATCCACGATAAAGCATTTACAGATAGAAAGGAAGATGCTAGCTTAGAACTAAATTGTAAATGCTCTGATCATAGATTCGTCGTTTATCAAGTTATCTATTCAGTGCTAGCAACAGTGTGAAGTAGACTGGTAGAAGTGTTAGCATTTACTTCCATACCTTCTGATCTGCAAGTCAAACTTCACAGAGGTGTCCATCTCTGACTGCTGATGCACACTGAAACGCAGCCCAGCTAATAGCTTAGAGACAAAACCAGGTAACCAAAGTTTAGTGGAATAAGAGTCACGTTTATAACAAAATGTTACTCAGCACAATTGTTCTTAACTGAAATTACACAAGGCTCAGTCACAGAGGAAGAGAAGGCAGACTGAACTGGCACTTAAGGCATCCAACTGAACAAGCGTGTCTCTCTCACTTGACGCTGTCACATTGCTTCCTCAGAGAAACAAAGTAAAATTTGCTATACATTACCCCAGCTTGTTTTTACTTATTTCCAGATCCAATGTGCTGCACAGTCTAGTAAACTGGACAAGTGTTTGAGAGTCAAGACAACTACACTCAATTCCTAGTTTTGTAGTAATTCACCCAAAGTCATGCAGTGAGTCACATACTTCCTCTGTGCTTCAGTTTCCCCATCCTTAAAATGGTTGGAAGTGATATGTAGTCCCCTAGGTACATGGCCTAGAGATTTATGGGTGAAAAGTGCTATATAACTATGCTTAGAATTACTATAGGATAATTCTAGGTAACATTGAGTCATAAAATCCACATACAGTCTTCTCAGACCTTAGTTTACAGGCAACTTGCAGCCAATTAGCAGAATGTTTCCTTTTTAATACTCAAACGTATGGGCGGTTTACATATATTTTGAGACCTAAATGTCAATAAGATTACATCTCCTAGCAGTATGAATATGCATCTTCTTCAAAGAATATGAAGAGTAATTTTCATGCCTCTTTTAAACCCCAACCACCCATTTGACTTACTTTAGTACCAGCCTTCATGGGATTTCCAAGGTCACAAACCACCAGGCGTGTTTGATTCTCAGTTTTAAATGCACAAGATAGCCGTGCTAATGCCTGCAATAAAACACTTATATCTTAAAAAAAGAGCGGTGCAATATTTTCTGGTGTCAGTTTATAAAACTGGAACAAAGCTGCAAGCAATTTGCATTCATTTAAATATTACTGCCCAATCTTAATATAGTCACAGATAGCTCTGAGAAAAATCTGGAGGTAAGAAGTTCATAAGGTAAAAGATACCAGTTTTATGCAGTGTGAAACTCTAATGCTCTTACTCATATTGGGTAGCAATGATGATTTTTGAGGCCTAAAGTCTCTCTTAGGTTGAGTTCTCCAAACATATGTGAAGTACCTATGACTTTTCTGCAGAGGAGTGAGTTAGTCCTGGAGCTTGATTAATACTTCACTTTAAGAGAAACAAATCTTTGAAGGTATAGTAAGCTGAAGGCCTGCAGCATAGGCCCACAATATCACAGGCCTGGTATGAGGCCTGAGACCCAGACAGCATGGACAAGACTTTGCTAATACAAAGCAGAGTTAAGCTGTGAGCAAAAGACAAACCCCTGCTCACAGGGGCCCCTGCTCACAGAATTTGGCAAGAACAGGGCTGATATTACAGAAGGATTCTTACCTAAGGGGTATTAAGCACACGCCATAAGAACATTCCAGAGGGGTTGTAACAGAACACCATGTGGAAAAAACATCTCAGTACCAACATACCACACAGGTAACAGGAACATACCGAACCATGTTCAGGACAGGGTCTAAACTGACAGCATGATAGATAGTGATCGAACCCCCACAAACAAGGTAATGGGTGGATCTAGGTGCCCCAGAGGGTGGCAACCTGATACATCAGGGTTGATGTGTAACTTGTTTGTACCTGTGTATAAAAATGTACTCCAAGAGGTCCAACCAAGGGGACAGGGTCACATTCCTGGCACTGACCAAATTGGCCCATTATCAGGAGGTACATATGCATAGTAGTTCAGTAGAGTCTACTGACAACTATTATTGAACTTCGTTTGACAATAAACCTGGCCTAGTGGCTTCGATCCTTATCTAATTTTGTGGTCTTTAGGCGGTCCCCAAAGTCTGCTGTGTGAGCTACTTGTGCAAATTCAATATGGTACACAGAAGCAGCATACACATGAAGCCAAATGGTTATTATGACTAAAGAAACAGGAGAGCTGTCAGAACACCCCACCAGTAACACCTGGCTATTATAGAAGGCAAAATGCCATGAGAAGTCAGTAGCTCCTCAGAAGCAGTCCTCGACATCAGGTTTTGGGTAAGTCCACTGTGCACAAGTTAACTGAGGGCAAGCGAGCAACAGTAGAGAAAGCTAGGGTAGCAGAAGACAAGCCTCTCTGAATATGCCATTTGAAGTATGATCCCGGATACTGAAGGACACAGTAGAATATGGTACTAGAAGAGTGAAGCCCATTAAGACAGCAAACAACAAAGTTATGTAAACTTACTCAAAAGGCTTTTTCCCCTTCACTATTTTAAGAGCAGGTGCTCTCTGAAACTTGGCAAGTATGGAATAGGGATAATCCAGCTATATTTTCTATGTCCTATAGACCTTGGCTATCAAAGAAATAGGATAAATTGCATCACCAGGGGGCAAGCTCAGAATCATAGAACACTACAACTGGAAGGACCTCAAGAGGTCATCAAATCCAGTCCTCTGCCCACACAGCAGGACCAACCACTGCATAGATCATCCTTAATAGATGTCTGTTTAACCTGCTCTTAAATATCTCCAATGATAAAGATTCTACAACCTCTACAGGCAATTTATTTCAGTGCTTAACTATCCTGACAGTTAGGAAGTTTTTCCTAATGTCCAACCTAAACCTCCCGTGCTGCAGTTTAAGCCCATTGCTTCTTGTCCTATCATCAGAGGCCAAGGAAAACAATTTTTCTCCCTCCCCTTTGTAACACCCTTTTAGATACTTGAAAACTACTGTCATGTCCCCCTCTCAGTCTTCTCTTTTCTAAACTAAACAAGACCAGTTCTTTCAGTCTTCCCTCATAGTTCATGTTTTCTAGACCTTTAATCATTTCTGCTGCTCTTCTCTGGACCTTCTCCAATTTCTCCACATCTTTCTTGAAATGTGGTGCCCAGAACTGGACACAATACTCCAACTGAGGTATACTCAGCACAGAGTAGAGAGGAAGAATGGCTTCCCGTGACTTAAGCAGTTGAGAGCTGCTTCTCATCTTCCCTGGGCAGCCTAATTGAGGCTACAGGGACAGTGTGTGTATGTTGATGCCTGAGAGGTCATCACATACAAGACATGAGAAGCAGAGCAATATAATCTGTCTAGGTTGCAAGAACTCATGTCAGAAGCAGCATTTATTGATTTATCTCTTCACAATCACCAACTTTGTGGCCATTTTAACAATCCTGTAAGTCAACTGCCTAACTGAACTGGGAGAAACCTAGGATGGGAGAAGTTCTGGAAGCATACACAGGATCCAAGCAGTCTCTGAGGCAAAGCACTGCTGGGACATTTCACAGAAATTTCAAGAATCAGAGAGATGGGTCGCTTGTGCCTGTGCAAGTGCAATGACAATGAAAGCAGAGAGAACCAGTGCCCCTTCCAAGAAAAAAAATAAATTATACAAACATCTCCCTAGGCAACAGGGGAAGCAGTTGCAAGTCAATCCTAAATGCTTCATGTGACCAGGACAATTGAAGCCCCTTAGTGAGGATTCTGCAGTTACAGAATCTCCAGTTATTTGATATTTCTCTATGTTCTTCACTTGTGCGGTAGGGAGAGAGCAGTAATATCCAGATATTATTCTTTGTCTTTTTGATTTGCACAGCTCTTTACCCAGGACATAAAATGCTGAATCTGAATATAGATTAATTAGATTAGGTGCTGTTAAAAGACCTGTGCCAGAAATAATCTGTGTGGATTCATAGCAGCCCTGAGCAGTTTATCTATCACTGACTAACACCTCTCTATTGAATCAGAATAAATCAGCTCTGAAGTTTCAGCTGGACATCTGCTCAGAAAATGTTAAAGTTACTGTGATCACCTGACTTACTGGAAGGCTAACACAGATTACCTGTAACTTATAGGACAGAGCTAGTGAAGATTTAGGGTGGGAGAATATTAGAATCATAGAAGCCTAGAACTGGATGGGTCCTCGAGAGGTCATCGAGTCCAGACCCCTACCTGCATGGCAGGACCAACTACTGTCTAGATCATCCCTGATAGATGTCTGTTTAACCTTAAATATCTCCAGATATGGAGATTCCACAACCACCTTAGGCAATTTATTCCAGTGTTTATAATCATCCTGATGGTTAAGAAATTTTTCCTAATGTCCAACCTAAACCTCCCTTTCTGCAGTATAAGCCCATTGCTTCTTGTCCTATCATGAGAGACCAAGGAGAACCATTTTTATCCCTCCTCCTAACACCATTTTAAATACCTGAAAACTGCTATCATGTCCCCTTCCCGGGCCATGTCCAGACTACGCTGTATTTTCGAAAGAGGAATTTGCATATCTTCTTCCGATTTCACTTTCAAAAGTGGGTCTTTTGAAAGTGAAAGTAGTCTGGACGCATTTGTTTCGGAACCCCCCTTTTTCAAAAAACTGCTCTTCCTTAAAATATTAGGTTTATGCAGTTTTTCGAAAAAGGGGAAGTGTTCCTCTCTGTCTTGATTCCCATGGGACCTTACCTTCAGCTTTCTGAGTTTACTAAATTCTGTCTTCCTGAAATCCATTGTCCCTATTTTGCTGTTTTACTTTCTACCATTCCTTAGAATCATGAACTCTATGATTTTCTTTGGTCACTTTCACCCAAGCTGCCTTCCACTTCCAAATTCTCAACCAGTTCTTCCCTATTTGTTTAAATCAAATCAAGAACAGCTTTCCCCCCCATAGTGTCTCTCTCAACCTTCTGAGAAAGGTTATTCGTGCACCCAGTCTAATGACCAATTTAGATCCCTTCTTAGAATAGCTTACTTTTGGGAACTCTTTCCTCAAGGGTAAAATAGTGTGCTGCGCTGCTGACATTTATGTGTGGAATGCACAAAACTACATAAGGGTAGGTCTGCACTTCATTCCTCTCTCTCTTGAGATTTAAATATCCCTCACTTCATTTGCATAATCGTGTTATGGCGCTATTGCGGAATAGTGCTATTTCGAGAGAAAAAACGGGGTTATTTTGAAATAAAACCCGACCCCTGAAATAGAAAAAAATTGGGTTATTTCAAGGGAAAAGAGCGCACTTCCTGGTTCGAATCAGCTGGAGTGCAGAATAGCGTGCGGGAGAGATTATACTAATGAAGTGTGGGATACTTAAATCCCCGCTTCATTTGGAATTTCGGGTGTCTGCATCTGCATTCCTCTCTTGAGAGAGGAATGAAGTGTAAACATACCCTAAGGGAAGCCAGTGTGTATGCTGTGAAGCCAGAACAATTCATTAGAAAGTTACGATTTTAGTATTTCCCACTCACTGCTTTCACTTTCTGGTTTCATCTGGTACTGGAAACATAAGTGTCACTGTGGAAGAAGACACATTTCCCTTATGGCACTTTAACCAGAAACAAATTAAGTATCAGAATTCCTGCAAGGATGTCTGTTCTAATGAAAGCTTCGGTGCAGTTTTACACACACAAGAAATTTGAGTAAACTTGATTTGTAGTGTTAGTGAAAGATTAAAGCTTAGGCAGCCCTCACAACCCAATCTTGCAAACTACTACATGACTAAATGCAACAGAAATACTCACAAGTGGAAAGTGAGTAAGAAACTTACCTCATTGTTGCGAACAACACCAATGAAGTCTGCTTGAGGTGGAATGATAACAAAGAGTTCAGCTTCATAGGCTCCTTCTCCTTGGTTCTGGGCATTGACAATCAGGGTTAAAGGATTGTCATCGCCAATATAGATCTGCTTCTGATCACTGAACAAGAACAGTAAGCGCAAAAGTGAATTCTGAGTTCAAATCTTTTAAGCCATTACTCTTAACAGCTAGGATGTACAGACACAAGAGGCAATGTCACATTGCACCAGAACATTAAGGGTCACCACAGTTACATTGCAAGCATGTTTTATAGCTCAAAAATGCAACTTGCAATGAATTTTAAATGAAAAGCGATACAAGGTCACCGGCAATAATGGAACACACATGAAATGTCATTGGGAGGAACTATCCCTGACAAAGCATTTCATAATTTAAGAAATAATGTGCACACACTTCCTAATGTCAGAACAGTAGATAAATGTTATGGGTCAGATGCCCAGATATGACCTTGCCATTTGAATGACCATACACGCACATTTTATGTACACACACACGCGCGCGCGTGTGCAAATACACACGCACACACGGAGCCAAATTCAACTTAAAGTTAACTACAGAACTGCAATCATCATCTTCTCCTTAATCATTTTCTAGTAACTCCAGATAAATCCTTTAAAATGTTGCATATAAACTACAAGAGATCCAAATTTTCTCTGAATTCTCAAGTGTAAGAGCATAAGAATGGCCACACGAGTCAGATCGGTGTTCCATCTAGTCCAGTATTCTGTCTTCTAACAGTTGCCAATACAAGATGCTTCAGAGGGAATGAACAAGACAATTATCAAGTGATTCATTCCTTGAGGTTTATATCCCTGACCATCTTGACTAAAAGCCATTGATTGACCTATCCTCCATGAACTTACCTTTTTACTACATGTACTGGCAAAGAGTTCCATAGGCTTACTGTGTGTTGTATGACTTAGTATTTCCTTATGTTTGTTTTAAACATGCTGCCTATTACTTTTATTGGGTGATCCATGGCTCTTGTGTTATATGCAGGGGTACATATTGCTTCCTAGTCACTTTCTTGACACCATTTATAATTTTATAGACCTCTATCATTTTCTACTTGAATTGTCCTTTTTTAAACTGGACAGATTCAGTTTTTTTTAAATCTCTACTAACACAGAATCCATGCTATATACCTAATAATTTGTTTCCCTTCTCTGTATCTTTTCCAATTCAAATACAACATTTTTTAGATGATGTGACAATAACTGTATGAAATATTCAAGATAGAAGCATATCATGCATTTATATGCAGTAGAATCTAAAAGTCTGCAATTGTTTGGTACTGGAGGCTGTTCATAACCCTGACACATTTGCAAAACTGAACAAAGCTTCAGGGTTATTCTCTCAGAAGTTTATAATTGAACATTGACTTAATACATAGGGTTGTCAGGCCATTACAAATTAATCATGATTAATCAAGTGATAAAAACATTGATTGCAATTAATTGCACAATTAATTTGTTGATAAACAATAATATAATACCATTTATTTCAATATTCTTGATGATTTCCACATTTTAAATATATTGATTTAAATTATAACATGGAATATCAACTGTGTAGTGCTCACTTAATATTTATTTTAGTACAAATATTTGCACCATCAAAACAAAACAAATATTATTTTTCTATTTACCTAACACAAGTACTAAAGTGCAATCTCTATCATGAAATTTAGACATTTAGAATTATGTACATTTAGAATTACGTACAAAATTAACTAAACTATTAAAAAAATATAACAATAGAAAACTGAGTGTAGGAGTCCACTCAGTTCTAATTCTGGTTCTATTAATCACTCAGACCAACAAGTTTGTTTACATTTGCAGGAGATAATGCTTCCTGCTTCTTGCTTGCAATGTCACCTGAAAGCGAGACCAGGCATTTGTTGTAGCCTGTGTCGTTACATGTCCGATGTGCTACAGATTCATATGTCCTTTCATGCTTCAACCACCCTTCCAAAGGCCATGCATCTATGCTGCTAAATGGTGGCCGAAGCATGAAGGGGGGCATATCAAGTGAGCACTGTACAGTTTGTATTTTGTGTTGTAACTGAAATCAATATATTTGAAAATGTAGAAAACATTCAAAATATGTAATAAATTTCAATTGGTGTTCTATTAATTAATCAACAGACCTATTAATAAAGCTTTGAAATTTTTACTATGCAGAAGTAAACCGCTGCTTTTAGCCATCTTAATTTAAATAAAATAAGCCCAGAGAAACAGTTTCCTTGTTTTGTCCAAAAATCTTTTTATCTTCCTTTTAATAATTTACATTTAATATAGTACTGTACAATTTTGTGTGTATATGTACATGTGTTTGCTGCCAAATTGTGTACTTCTGGTTCCAAATAAGGAGTCATATGACAAGTCAATTTGAACTCTGGTGTTCATAACTCTGAGGTTCTACTATAGTGGTATTAAAATATTGTCTCTCTTATTATAGAATTGTAGAACTGGAAGGAATCTTGAGAGGTCATCAAATCTCATTGCCTGCACTCGTGGTAGGACCAAGCACCATCTGAGCTGTCACTCACTGGTTTTTGTCTAATCTGCTCTTAGAAATCTCAATGATGAAGATTCCTCCACCTACCTAGGCAACATATTCCAGTGCTTAACCACCCTGACAGTTAGGAATTTTTTCTAATATCCAACCCTCTCTTGCTGCAATTTAAGCCCACTGCTTCTTGTCCTATCATCAAAGGTTAAGGAAAATAACTTTTAACTCCTCTTTGTAATAACCTTTTATCTACTTGAAAACTATTATGTCCCCTTCCAATCTCCTCTTTTCCTAACTGAACAAAGTCAATTATTTTAATAGTCTCTCATAGGTCATGTTTTCTATACCCTTTAATAATTTTTGGTGCTCTTCTATGGATTTTCTCCAATTTGTCCACTGCTTTCCTAAAATGTAATGCCGTAACTGGATACAATACTTCAGTTGAGGCCTAATCAACGCCTAATTATCTAACCTTTTTCTTAATGGTCCCTTACATTGTAAGGTTTTTTGACTGCCACTGTACATTAAGCAGATGTTTTCAGACAGCTATCCACCATGGCAAGATCTCTTTCCTGAGTGCTAATTAAGACCCCAATTATTTTATATGTAGTGATGGGATTATGTTTTCCTAAGGGTATGTCTACACTACAGTGTTATTTCGAAATAGCTTATTTTGAAATAACACATCTACACACAAAATGCATTTCGAAATAGCACGTCCACACTGAGTGGACTGTGAATCGCATTTAAGACTGGCTGGAACCAGTTCCAGCAGGGCACCAAGTAAGGACTTACTATGTGGGGTGTGGGGCTGCTGCCTGAGGCTATCTGAGGTCTGTACTTAAAGGGATCCCCCCCCCCCCTTCCCCCTCCGGACACCCAGTTCTCAGGCTTCCCTGCTTGCTTGTCTATCTCAATGAGGGACAGCAAAGCATTTTGTCTCTTCATGCTCTGATTGCTCTCATTCGGGACAACACAGCACTCTACAACATAGAGCCAGAGCTGCCCCTGGGCACTCTGGTGCTTCTCTTGGATGCACTGCTGCAAGCCTGGCTGCACTTTCTGCAGGCTGCCATCCAGGAGGTCTATCAGGGGGCTGTCAGTATACAGGAGGCCCTGCAGGAGAGTTTCCACCCTGAGGAGCACTAAGAGCCTTCTTGGTCTGCCCTACTGGGGGCTTATGCCTCATTCTTCCCTCACGTCCTTCCACTTACCCCTCCCTATCCCCCCTTCCTGATGTCAAATAAAATACATGTATTTTCATGAACACAAACTCTATTTAACAAAACTGGGGGAAGGGAAAGAAACTCTGGTGAGACTGTGGAAAGGAGGCGAGAGAGGGGAGAAAAGAGGGTGGAAGAGGGGAGGGGGAAACTTGGGAGGAGGGAACTGGCAGGGGGAAGCAAGGGGAAGAAGGGGGAGGAGAAGCTCAGGGCTCAGGGTCTTCCCGAACCAACTTGATTTTGATTCAAACCTGCTCCTGGGTTCGTATGTGGCCTTTGGTGGCCAGGCTGGCAGCTATCCTGCCATAGACGGCCGCATTCCTCCATCTAGTGCGGAGATCAAGGATGTTGGGGGCATCCCCTCCAAACCTCAATAAGGTACATGATCAGGAAGGCTCCTGCCTTCTCCGGGCCCTGGCAGGCTCCTGGGAGCTCGTCGACTGCTCCTGGGAAGCAGTGGAGGGCTGGCTACCAGTGGCTTACTGGCTCCTGTTTTGGGGCCACTGGGTCGGGGCAGTGACTGCTGGCTCTGGGCTGGCAGGCTTGGAGCTGGCACAGGCACTGTGGCCAGAGTTGACCCCTTTAAGGGCTCTTGGGAGGCAAGGAGGGAGGGAGGGAGGGAGAGGAGTGTTCTTGGTTGAGGTTGGAGTGGCCACCAGGGCACCCCGGGAAGGCTGGAGGTCCCCTATTTCGAAGTAAGTATCTACACAGCATTTATTTCGAAATAGCTAATTCGAATTTGGGGTTATTCCTCGTAGAATGAGGTTTACCAAATTCAAATAAGCACTCCCGCTATTTCGAATTTATTTCTAAATAGCGGTTTGGCTGTGTAGACGCTAGGAAAGTTATTTCAAAATAAGGGCATATCCTAAGTGAATTACTTTGCAGTTCTCAACACTGAATTTCATCTATGTCTCTGTTCCTCAGTCACACAGTTTAGTGAGATCCCTTTGTAACTTTCTGCAGTCAGTTTTGGGCCTGATATTAAACAATTTTATATGATCTGCAAATTCTTCTACGTTATGGGGTGTGCATGTGTTTACATAATGATGCATGTATGATTGCCCTCTGCTGGAGAAAATCACAGCTTCTCATGTGTTTGTAACTGCAGCTAATAGCAGATAATGAAACTGCAGTATAGCCCTGTGGTTTACAGCTGAAGATTCTATGTAGGGATGGGCAATAAACAGTCTGTTGACCAGATGGGGTTCACCAGGGTTAGCCCCTGGCGGGCCACCAACACTTTATTTACCTGCGCGTCTTTAGAGATGGTTGCTCGCAGCTCCCATAGGCCTTGAATTGTCATTGTACAGTCAACAGAAGCTACAAGTAGCCATACCTGTGGGCATACAGATAAATAAAGTGCTGGAGGCTCACTGGGGTAACGCTGGTGAACCATAGCCGCACTTATTGCCCACCCTGACAATGAGTTCTCTGCTTCCTTTCTTATGTGGGCTCATTTTAACTGAGACCGTGATGCAGCCACAGTGTCCTTACAGGGATTTAGTCTCTCCTCAAAACTCATTTATGTTACTAGCACTCAGTCACAATGGGAAAAGAGGTTCCCTTAGGCCATAATCCAGCAAAAACAACTTGTACATGTGCTTAAATTTTACACTCTGAGTACTCCCAAAGATTTCATTTCATTTCATTCCATTCCATTCCTTTCTTTTCAATTGGACTGTATGCAAGACCTATGTAGGGTTGGAGCCTAACATAGTAAGTTACCTTTCCCAATTCTATTTTTCTATAGTATTTATTGCGTTGATAATATTTCCAATTCATTCAACACTGAAATTTACCTGTTTACTGCAACCTGCAGTTTTGGCTTGCAGATGTTATCTTCACCACAGTCTAGCAAGATATGTGTCTGTGGAAAAACCAAACATATACACCTTTAATAAGTTCAGCCCATGAATTCAATGAGTATCTTCATTCCCTTATCTCTTATTTTCAGAGGTATTTTGGAAGAATTTCAACTAGGGAAACTGTTTGCTGGTCTCTATATACATAACTAGAAATGAAGAAAAACTGTGTTTGTGAATGCTGCATGCCCTTTTACACTTGCCCACTATATGGCCATGTCTACACTAGGAAACTATTTCAAAATAACTAAATTTGACTTAATTCCCAATTTCACAAAATCAATGTAGTGTGTCCCCACTATGGGAAAGCCTGAAAATAGTCTGAGACTAATGTGGGCACTCTACTTTGACTCAAAAGTCCCAGGAAGCACCGAGGAGTAATTAATTCAAATTACTCTGGGGAGTAGTTATTTCAAAATAGCAGCACCGGAGCATTCACACTAATGCTATTTTGAAATAAATATTTTGAAATTAGTTTATTCCCCGAGAAAAGCAGGAGTACAGATTTTGACGTAAGTGGCCCCTTACTTTGAAATAATGGGTTATAAATTCAATTTAAAGGGGATTATTTCGAAATAAAACCCCAGTGTAGACAAGGGCTATGATTCTAAAGCCGATATCTAAATCTATCAATTGTATTTGCAGAGCACCATAAATAAATGTCTGTCTTTACTGTTGCATCTCCACTATGCTCTCTGTACAAGTGATTCTTACAAAGCTTGGAATAAAAAAGGTAAAAATTAAGTTTGTACTTGCAGTTCTCTCAACTTACTAATTTACAGAATATCTCTGAAATGAATAAAAACGTAAACACAAGACTGCAGAAACATAAGACCAGGAGCAACATCTAGGAACCCTGTGTTCCAGTCCAGAATGGCAAACAGCAAGAATCTGAGGGTACTGCGTTAAAAGGGAGGGGAAATGCTCATTGATCTAGGAACATTAATAAGCTGCAGGAGTGAACTGCCTGTGCAAGAGAATCTTACTCTTTCCTCTCCCTGGAAACCTCAGAGAAATATGGTATGTACAGGCGCACAAAACGAGAATAGATGAAAACCACTCATCATTCTGGATTAGCATTCCCGTTGCTGAACAGACCTAGACCTCTGTTTTTTTTAATACAACTAAGTGTGATGGGTGAAAAAGCAGCTCAGTTCTGAAGACAAGGGTGTGTCTAATGCAGACAAGTAACTTATAAAAGAGCAAAAAAAATACATTAATGTATTTGGAAAACATTTCCAGAAGTCAGTGCCTAAAGCTAGACCCCCTATATCCACATTTAGGTGTCCTGATATTTAAGAGATGCATCTAAAAATCATAGAATCATTGAATACTAGGACAGGAAGGGACCTCAAGAGGTCATCAAGTCCAGTCCCCTGCCCTTATGGCAAGACCAAATACCGTCTAGACAATCCCTAATAGACATGTATCTAACCTACTCTTTAATATCTCCAGAGATGGAGATTTCACAACCTCCCTGGGCAATTTATTCCAGTGTTTAACCACCCTGACAATTAGGAACTTTTTCCTAATGTCCAACCTAAACCTCCCTTGCTGCAGTTTAAGCCCATTGCTTCTTGTTCTATCCCCAGAGGCTAAGATGAATAAGTTTTCTCCCTCCTCCTTATGACACCCTTTTAGATATCTGAAAACTGCTATCATATCCCCCTCAATCTTCTCTTTTCTAAACTAAACAAACCCAATTCCTTCAGCCTTCCCTCATAGGCCCTGTTCTCTAGACCTTTAATCATTCTTGTTGCTCTTCTCTGGACCCTCTCCAATTTCTCCACATCTTTCTTGAAATGCGGTGCCCAGAACTGAACACAATACTCCAACTGAGGCCTAACCAGCGCAGAGTAGAGCAGAAGAATGACTTCTCGTGTCTTGCTCACAAGACACCTGTTAATGCATCCCAGAATCATGTTTGCTTTCTTTGCAACAGCATCACACTGCTGTCTCATGTTCAACTTGTGGTCCACTATAACCCCTAGATCTCTTTCTGCCATACTCCTTCCCAGGCAGTCGCTTCCCATTCTGTATGTATGAAACTGATTGTTCCTTCATAAGTGGAGCACTTACAAGGCCATGAATTCACCATTATGCGGATATAGACATCAAAGGCTGATAATGTCATCTATTTTGTTTAACCTAAAACTGTCAGGAATATACCTGTCTGCTAACATTAGCAGGAGTGAACTGGTTGAGGATGGGCTGTAATCCAGCTGAGTCTGTAGCCGTTTTGTAATCCAACCGATATTCCATAAAAACAGTGATCGGTGTAAGTTTGTCTCTAAACTCAGATTCATCCTGAGGGGAGAAATTATTCAGGTCATGCTTAAATCACATAAAAAAGAACACAGAGGTGCACAGGATTGAAATCAAAAGCCTGCTAGTACTGGATACAATTATTATTTATATTATGCACCCAGAGCCCCATACAAGATCACAGCTCAATTGTGCTCTAAAAAACTTACAATCTAAATATACAGGACAGACAAAGTTAGTGTTAATATGTTCATTTTACAGATGGGAAACTGAGGCACACCGTGAGATTTCAGTGATTTGCCTAAGGATGAATGGAAATCTGTTGCAGGGCTAATAACTGGCTCTCCAAACCTAGTCGAGTGTTTTAATCACAAAACCATCATTCCTCTATACCAATAATAATTCAGGGCAAACAATGATAACTCTGGTAATTACAGGTAATCTGTAATGATAACTCTGGTAATCTGATCTCTTACCCTCAAAAAAGCCTGAAGTTCCTCACAACGCATTGTTCCCCCTTTGACAATGGTCATATTCTTAGAGTGGCTAGGCTGTTTGTTGTGGAGAAACAGAGCTCTCCTCAAGGCTCCTTTTTGCTTAAGCTTATCCAACAGCAGTTCCACTTGGAAGGCTATCAAATCCAAAACATTTAGGTTAGGAATTTCTTGACCGACTGTATTCATAGTAGGTTCCTCCCAGCTAATAAGTCACAAGCTGACATCAGCTACAGTGGCAATCCAACAGCTGTGCCCTCTTACAAATTCTTACTTTTTTCAAGTACGAAATGTGTCAACACAATATTGTAACAGAGGTTGGTATGGTGCTAAAATGAGACTCAAATCTTCTACTCAACACCTAAACATCATTATTCTTGTAGACAAATATTCAAGTAATAGGTTTGCCTCCGTATTGAGATTTCTTTATGAAATTAGAAGTTAGGATTTTTTTTCCAAAGAGCAGCAATCTTACACCCACAATATATATTCTCCAATTGTATTATTACTAATCATTGTTTAATATATTTTATATGGACCCCGTAACTTAAAACTATAATACATTTCCTACTACATAAACCTTGCCAGGTCATGTCTGTTATACACATAGTATGCAGAAAACACTAAGTTTCCTGGATGACACAGTAAATCAGCCAGAAACCATCAGTCATCATGGCAAAATATACGTAAAGCCACCATATCAACCTCTTAGAATCAACATGACCTAGAAATCCTGATCTGATTCCCATCCATGCCAGTGAGAGTCTTTCCATTGTCTTGAATGGGAGTTGGATTAAGCCCTTAGCATCCAAAATACTTGTCTCTACTATCAGTTTCATCAATGCACCCAAAATAAGCTTGAATAAAGATTTAAACTGGTTAACACACTACAAAGGCAATTTCCCTTCCATTGATATTCACTTGAGATGTAAAATCCCATTTAACAAGCAGTTAACCAATTAAGTGGGATCCTGGGGTGCCGTGGGCCTGGCTCAGCCAGAGCAACCCCCGGTCTTGGGACTGCTGGCCCTGGTCAATGGTGCGGTGGGTCAAGCTGAGCTAGAGCAGTCCTTTGTCCACAGGCACCAGTTAACCAGGTACCAGTAAGCATCACCCAATAAGGTGATGCTTATCAGGGTATCCAGTTACCCATCCATATCCCTACTATTCACATCAGCAGCAGCTGTGAATGAGCAACTTCCACTCTGACTTGATTAGCCTCATGAACACTGGTTCTACATTTGATAAGTAACCTCTTTCATTTGTTGTACATATATATATATAGCCCTGCTTCTAATTTCCATTCCAATTCATCTTCTGATGAAGTGGGTTTTACCCATGAAAGTTGATGCCCTAATAAATGTGTTAGTTTCTAAGGTGCCAGAGTGCTCCTCGATGTTTTTGTAGTTTCCACAAGAATTATTTATCTGAAATTCCTTTTTGTGGACCCAACTAAAGAGCTTGATGCTGCAAGATGAGAAGTGCTCTTAGGCATCAATTCAGCAAACCACTGAACCACATGATTAAATTCTGATTAAATTTCATGGGACTTGACTTATGCTTAAAGTATAACACATGTTTAAATTCACTGCTGAACTGAGACTTCACTTCTGAATAACTTGATGGTGCCTGAAGGGGCTCAGCATGAGCAGGACCAAGCCCTATGCTGAAAAAGCAATTATTTCAGTGATTAAGAAACAATTACGTCCAGGATTCTTGTTTGCAGACAATATGGAAAGTTTAATATTTTTTTAAAACAGCAGAACTTACTGAGTTTATTGGGGAGCTTTCCCTTGCCATCAGCTGTTAAGCAGAACTTTACTTTAAAGCTGTTTAAAAAAAATTCAAAAAGCACATATGATGAAATAATGTTTTCAGCAGACTGTGGTTTAAAAGCTCTCCCTCATAATATTACCAATTCTAAGTTCTTTTCTTAAGAGACTCCAACCCAGTCCACTCCCACAGCTCTCTCCTCGTAGCCAACCAGAACAGATTCATGACTGTTTGTTTTATCACATCTAATTCCAGTGGGGCCATGGGACAGCAGCCAATACCTGCTCTGTTCTTTCCCCATCTATGAAGACAACTGAATATACAAGAACAGGTCATGTGTTTTTTTTACCCCAAGTGGAGCAGGTAGAAAACTCCACACGCTGATCTCTATTTCAATCTTTGCTCCTAAATTGGGAGAAGACTGGCAATTTCAGAAGATATGGATCATGTTATTTCTATGGGGACGTTTACAGTTGGGGAGACTTTCCTGGACGGGGGATACAAAAATACCTGGAGTATGCTGGGCAGCTACTCTATAGGGTTAGGAAGTAAATCCTGTATAGCTCCGAGAACGGAAGTACGACAGAGACTTTAAAACGCAACCATGACGAACACAGAGTAGTTTACACAGCTCATGGCACTTCTACACAGAAGGGTCCTTGTTGACTGGTGTACAGGTCTTAGCATTGTAGCAATTAAGGTTTTGAAATGGACAGTGACAGTAGGAATGCAGAGCCTAAAGTTTAGGGCTTGATCAGCCTAATAATCTTCATCTGTAAAGAACAGAGTTCAAATTGTGCAGTCAGCCAGAAATGAAAGTGAGTGGAGGTTTCTGACGTGTACTTTTAAAGCACTCCACAAAGGGGGACAACTGGCAACCTGGCTCTGAGCAGCCCAGTCCTAAAGGGTCAGTGATTGCAGTCCAGAACTGAATTGTTAAAAAAAAAACTGTTACAAGGAATTTACAAGACATCTGGTCCCAACATACCTAGCTCAAACCAATCCTACTTGTCTCTTATTTTCCTGAGCAATTAATTCATTCTTAGCCCTAAGTGTACTTGCTTTGATTTTCCTAGCCATTCCAAAAATCCAGTTTCATTTTTTAAAATCTATTTATTAGTTTTACCCTCTCATCTTTGAGAGTTTAAGTAAAAACAAGCCACCTTACCAGGAAACTTTCACACCAGTATCTAACAGTTCACAGATTTTTTCCTCGGGATTTAGAATGGTTGGGTTAACTTCTAGTCCAGCATTTACACTGATAACTGGTCTAGCCCTGTAGACAAAAGTAAATAAATTAATGTGAATGAAAACACTCATACAACCCTACACCACAACATTCTTCATAATATGCTATATATGCTCTATATTTAGTACAGGAAGTCCCCGGGTTACGTACAAAATTGGGACTGTAGGTTTGTTCTTAAGTTGAATTTGTATGCTAAGTTGAATTTGGATGTAAGTTGGCCTCGGCGCGGGGAGTTTTTTAAAGCGGCCCCGGCGGCACTTTGCATCCCCTTCCCCCGCCCCCTCCGCGGCCGGTCTCTGGGGCTGGGGCCAAGCGTGCCCCGTGCGCCCCGACCGGCCGCTGCAGCGCCCGGAGGCCGCAGCCCAGCGCAGGGCTGGATGTTTAACGGCGGAGGCGGATTCCCCTTTAAATCTCCCC